GTCTGATGCTGGACATCATGACAACTACTCTGGCAGATGACTGGGACTAGATACGTTCTACTAAGTCGCCCTGACAACAAGAAAAAGTTGCGACAACAAGGTCAACTCCTCCGGTTGCCTTTACAGCTCTCGTTCCAGAGTTTAGCTGAGAATATTCGCAAACTTTGATTGTTATGACGCCAATCGGGCTGGGACTAGAAGTTATGTCAAGGCAACCGAGAGGCTGGCAAACGCTTGACAAAGCCGGTACAGAAGATGTACCCCAGGTCTGGTGGATGAAATTAATAGAAACGTTGAGGGAAGATAAACGAACAACCTTAGTACAAGATATGAAGATCAAGATGTTGTGGCCTCTGGTATGGTCGCAGTATCCTTTCAATTTATAGAAGTAAGTTGGCCCCGTTGTCGCAACTTGGTCTTGTTGTCAAGGCGACTTAGTAGAACGCATCTAGTCCGAATTCGCCTGCCAGAGTAGTTGTCATCACTCGCAGCATCAGACAATGGACTTGATACATTCTCAACCCACTTCACTTTAAATCGAAAGGAGACTGCAACCATACCAGAGGCCCCAACATCTTGGTCTTCATGTCTTCAATTAAGGTTATTCCTTCATCTTCCCTCGACGTTTCTATTAATTTTGTCCACCAGACCTGGGGTACATCTTCTGTCCCGGCTTTGTCGAGCGTCTGCCAGCCTCTCGGTTGCCTTGGCATAAATTCTCGTCCCAGCCCGATTGGCGTCATAACAATCGAACTCTGGAGCGAGAGTTGTATGGGCCAACGGAGGAGATGTCGGTTTGTTTGTTTAGTAAGCAACATGCCGAGTTGTGCTTGCGCCAACTCCCATTTATCCCAAATTTCAGCTGTCAAGGCACGAGATTTGTAGCCAGGCCAGATGAGTAGTTCTAATGGTCTCGGACTTCTGACGGCCCTATTTGTCCCAGAAAGCCGGACGCTCGGACAACAATGCAATCAAGGCCTGACGACAGGGAAAGTCGGGGATTTATTTGTTGCTGGGCCAGTCATGAGGCCTAGTAATGGGCAATGGCGAGTGGGACACTAAAATAGGAATATAGTGATAAATTCATACTGAGGTACCTTTCTATTTTTTGGTAAGATGGAAGAACTGTTGTTGAGACTGCAGATTTATGTACAAATAAGTAATAAAACCTCCCCCTCCGGTTTCTTGGGTGGCCTCAGCGCGAATCACATTCAGCCAACTTTTAACGGTAAACAAAATTGAGCAAAAATTGAATCAACTGCAATTGGCGATGAGTAAAGACCGTTAGTTGACATTTCCCATAACTCAACTATAATTCCTTTATCAACTTATGCTAACTAGGTTGACAGGTATTATTATTCATGTTTGACTGATAAATTGAAAAAAAATAAATATTTTAATCATTCAAAAGGCCAAAATACACTGTGCTTTTTCTTGGTGTCTTTCAGTTCGTGAAATTGGTTTAACACATTTGTTAAGATCATCAACTCAATTATGCGTTAGTTTAGGATTGAGCAATCACGGCGAAACAACGAGTAATTAAATAATCAAATCATTTTATATTTCCCCTTTATCTTCTGGCATGTTTGCAATGTATTTTTAATTGTGAATCCATCGAAAGTCGGCTAGCTAGTCTGTTTAATAATGAAATACAGATCAGGCAGTTTCTGTCAAGTGACATGAAAAGCGATAGATGAGCCATCTTCACTCTGAATGAACAAGGATGCCTCTGGACTGCATCCATCTTTACCGCACAGTAACACCAAAAGACTGAATAACAACGAAAATGACCAATCGTCTTCACATATAATCGATCAAAGAAGCTCTTCATCAGATACTTTCATGGTGAATGAAAATCACTACAACCTGATTTATTAAGTAGATTGGGGCCGGTTTAAGGAGTAGACAAATGTGGTATCGAGCCCTGACGACCGTGACCATGTTGTTACTAAGGCAACATTAGTCGTCTGTCTAGTCTACCAGAATACACATATTCTCCGACAGAGACAAAAAGTGTTTTGGAATATGTGAACGGAATGGGCCTTGTTTAGCCGAATACGTTTTCCTCAGCAACTGCATCACCACAGTTCGGATACAACAGGAAGTTGGAACGAGAATGTGAGACTTGTTCTTTTTGTACGCATGATGCAATTAAACTCCATTAAAATCTCGAGTATAGTGACATGAATGACCGTCACTGCAGACAAAATTACACATTCAGCCGTCTATTCGCTTTACTGGACTCAACATGGGTCTAGGAATGTTCAGAGTAGAATTAGGGCATAGCGTCAACTGGTGCATCATGTCACTTCCCTCCGTTCTAAGATGAATCAGGATGGAAATACCGAAATACGACAAGCTTTCGAATAGTATTGCTACTACTACAACTGCTGTTACCACCATCACTACTAATACTTATTATACTTCTTATTCTTCTGCAATAGCAAGGAATACTACAACCAACGCCACCTTTATCACTATTATCACTACTACTACTATTACTACTACTATTACTACTGCTATTATTACCACTTCTATTTCTGCTACTAAAGCTATTTTTACATTTCATTTTTCATATTCTTCTCACACTAGTACTACCGCTACTACATTTATTTCTACTACTACTACTACTACTACTACTA